GAATAGTCCCATCAATCCACATTTCTGTCAACCTTTAGCTCATTAAATGAGGATATTACAGTAGTTAATTAATTTACCAGCTGATTCAAAAATCATAGTTGCATAAAAGGAAAAAGCTTTGTTTCCTCCAAATTGCTGGAAAACCATCAGCCCAACGCCAACCTATATAACAATGGCGCCGATTGACCAAATAAACAGTATATATACAATCTAATTTCTTTAGACAGTAATTGATATACTTATTTTAACACACTATATTACATATTTATTAAAAAATTATTATTTTTTAATTTAAAATTAAAAACAAAAAAACTTATTTTAATAACTGAAATTGAACAAATTTAAAAAAATGTGTCAAACTAAAAGATTACCAATAATTTTCCAATATCTTTCTATAGACTTACAATGACTGAATAAACATATTTCTGTTGGAACAAGTTTTGAATTCCATCATTTGAAATCCTCTGAAGATATTCCGTGTATTCCTGTTCACATAACAAAAACCCGTCTCACCTGATTGTTTCCAATGCAAGAAAAATTTATGAACAATGATTGCGCATTCATGAGAAAACCTAAAACTTTACTTTGATATCCTCTGCCTCTTGAGAAATATCAGCATGTCTGCCCCTTAGTTGCTGCAGAGTAGATTCAAACTCTTCCATTCTACTCGTTTTGGCCTACAGACAGTAATATAACCTTATCAAGTAAACATAAAATCGGCTCTGAAACTTGTTGTTGGCTCATTGAATCTGGAAATAAGAATGAGTTTTCCTACCTTGTACCCTTAAGGCAAGGTTAAAAATGTAATATATATATATATATATTTTTGTCAAAATTTATGTTGAAAAAACAAAAATTAACTTTTAATTTATCAACTGTTTAATTAGATTTATCCATTTGACAACGATGTTAAAATTAATGTTAGCTTTTACATATTTTTCAGTACACATTTATAACAAAATGTAATCTTAACCTATGTCCTTAAAACACAAATTAAAAAACTTAGTAAGAATTAATCAATACTTTATGTCACTTATTCTTTTAACACAACATCTAGTTTTACCCCTACCAGACCTTGGCTAAGTGGTGTTGTCGAATATCCAAAAAAATAAGAGTAAGAAAGAAAGAAAAGGAATGTTCAAATGTCCTCACCAACCATCTCGGAGACTCTGGAATGAAAGCTAGCCCTATCAGCTGTAGGAGACATGGCATAATCCCTGAAAATGAAATTAATTTTCCTCTGTTTATGGACCTCCCTTTAAAATTTACTGATCATAATAATGGAAGAGCAAAATAAGTAACCTATTAGAGCCAAGGTGCGCCAACTGACAAGAGAACCGACAATGAATGTAACAGCCTTTCCAATGCCTATCATCAACTACTACAGAATGGACTATAAGTTAGCTCATTCAAAAAATGAAATCGGAACTTATAATGGAGAATGCATACTTGATGAAGTGATGTAAACGAGCCCCGAACATCCTTGGAGGTAATTTCAGCAACATAGACAGGAACCTGCATGGTAATTGGGCTGCAATTTGTGAAAAAATCATTTTCCAAGAGAAAACTATTGGAATACACTCAATTTTTTTTTTTCTTTTACACTTATTTCGGTTCAATTATTAAAATATAATATAAATATAATTGATTTAATTAGTTCATATATTTTATATGCATGATTTTATTTT